TCACAACAATGACACACAGACTTAAGCCTCAAATACGAAATGGTAACCCATGCGAGGTCTTTGGACGTTTCTTATCATGAAAATAGCAAACTTACACGTGGCTAAAGTTTTTGTTACACATTACACTATGTTTACACCACAGGAAGGGGATGAACAATGTAATCCCTGGATATCTGTGGAGCGTTAAGGATAGTTGTTTAAATGAGGCTTAAATTGACAGTGGAGCTGCCCATCACCAAATCGTATCGGAACCATTGAGAAAACAAGCGACTAAGAGCGACCATTATTGTATTTTCAGAACTTTATCTAGAAAACCGGTAAAAAGAAGTACAAATATTTAAAACATATCGTTTTATTAAAAAAAAACAAGTCGGGCAAAAAGGTCAGCAGGCATATAGACACCTACGTGTACAAAAAGAGCTGAGTCAACGCCATTTAAATGTCATTACTGAAGGTCGGCCGCCTTTGAGATGAATTATAACCTGATTGCAGTGTTGTGGGGACCCAAGGGTGTGAAACATGTCGCAGAACTCCTCGCGTCATACACTTACCTAAATTCATCATCGTATATATATATATATATATATATATATATATATATCGCTAGTCTTCACAGATACGGCGCCAAAAATAACCATGGGTTAACGAAACAGAAGCGAGGGAAACAAAATAGTCAACTTGGGGGAATAATAAATTTATTTGTTTGTTTATTGCAGACCATTTTGAGCTTTTCTTTTGTTTGTTTCGTTTTGGGATTGCACACAGGAGAGGATGCACCCACCCACTGACTTCGGTTTGATGCCACATCCCGCATTATCTCCAACCAAAGACAATCGGAATCTTTGGGGCCCCAGTCAGGGAGCCAGGAAACCTCAATGGAAGCCAGATCGGAGCACAGTCTCTCTAACTCTCTGCGCCACGTCATAGCCTGCCCACCTCGTTGCTTCTTCCAGCCTGGACCGATGTCTGCGAATAGTACACAGTGTGGCATACGTTGTTCAGGCATTCGTAGGACGTGCCCTAGCCACCTAAGATAATGTGGTGAAATTATTTTGCTCAAAGGAAGACTATCTGATCCTACCACCCGTCGTCTGACTTCATCGTTATTCGCGCGATGCTTCCACCATACGCGGGCGATGTTGCGCAGACAACGATTATTGAAGACGGATAGTTGTTGGACGTGATCTGCTCGGAGAGGCCAAGTCTCGCAACCATAGAGAAACACGATGCGTACCGTTGCGCAATACACACGCCCTTTCAGTGAAAGGGATATATCGCGCCGGCACCAGAGATGCCACAGATTAGCGAACGCTAATCTAGCTTTGATCACGCGCTGAGATCTAATCCATGATCGTACAAAATCTAGATTCATCCGACTCCTGGACACTGCGGCCAAGTGTCAGGGGACTCTCTGTTCTATCCCTCAACTCGACCATATGAAATTTAGGATAGTTTGCCTTATCAAAGACCCTTACATCTAACGCACAACTCGTAGTCACCTGTCCACCATTGAGCAATCACCTCATCAATCCGTATCACCGTTACAACTTTGATTTCTGTTACTCCGAGCTTGTTTCGTCTGTTTTCACTCCCTTTAAATTACTTTCGACAGGTGAAGACTCCAATTGTTAGTGATTTGTGTGAATTGTCCGCTCACGGGTGTCACACAGGCTGGCTATTCCCTTCTGACTCCCGTTTCTATTTTCTGTCCAACTCGTAACTTCGAGATTTTCAATCACTACAGAATCAACAAATCGAACTTATTGTGAACTGTTACAAATCTCCATGATAATATATCTCTGGATCGCAGAATTGAACCCTTTTAAACACGAATCGCAATTAGTACGGAGTGGGAAGTGCAAGACAACGAACGATAACAACGGATCCGAGAATGCTGGATAGATTGTGGCATTTAAAATACGAAGAGTCTATTAGGACACCAGTGAACAAGCCCAAGGCTTAGAGGAGGAGACCTGCTACGGTTAGGTCAAGGACAATGCAAAACATGAAATTTCGGAAGTCAACCCCCTCACTTACCATATGTGAGTATAAAAAGGAACAAAATGGCATTGGAACAGTGAACAATGGTCGGATCTGAATCTGGGAGAAGAGGACCTGAAGCACAAGTAACTATGAGGCGGGCAAATGTCGCTCAATCAACTCTAAAACCTGCTGGTAAATATAGTTAGTCCTCGAAATAGCTTCGAGCAAGTTTCGGCTAATCGTAGAAAACATCTAACGCCATAGGTTTGTGCCAAGTATGAGCTGATGCCCGATTTGAAAGGTGATGCAAACCAACACAGACAGAAAACAATTTGAACTAGCGACAACCCCCAAAATAACAAAAAGGCTTCCTATAGAAATTTTGTTCAGTTATACACTGCATTGTTTGGGACAGGTGGATGCATTCGAACCTACTTTTTCGGCCAGCATGAAAATTTTTCGCTGATCCACACCGCCAAACTGTGCATCCACGCCCAAATGCACCTCGTCTAAAGCTTGCAAAAGAGGATAGAGGAGACCGGAAACGAGTGGGCTGGCCACCTGTTTGACTACCTCAGCCCCAGCTTTGCGTGCATCGTGCACCGAGGTGAGAGCCATCAATCGATACACATCCTTGGAGTATTTTCTGTGAATGAGGAACCGGGGATGAATAGACGAGAAGCTAGCTAAATAGTGAGTTCGAAATGGGTAGGGATCAGTTGGATGGATTTCTGTTATTGTTCATACAAGACTGTACAGAGAAAAAAAACAATGTAAACAATAAATATTACACTCAAGCGTAAGTAAGAGGTTCCCAGTTAGCTGGGACTTTAGATGGCTGAAAACAATGCGATCCCGCGATCAAGAACGATTGACCCATTCTTTCTCATCGCCATCATCGCCGTCATCAATACATACGATAAGACAAGTCGTCCGTTCTACTGAACAACATAAAAAGATAAGTTGACCGCTCGGAAATCATATCTATGTGAAGGCTTAAAGAATAATGAATTTATTATATTGCCCATCCCGAGGGGAGGTATGTTGAATGATAAGGTGAAAGATTGTTGCAGCATCTCTCCAGATTTTTATCTTAACTCGGTACTTAGCTCTCACCGGTGGCTTTGATAAGAAGCTCGCACTAAACAGTGGGCATATCCCCGTGAAGCGATCAAGAGAGGCGGGACAAAGTAGTTGAGGAGCTCAAGAGAGTTGCCTCGAGAATGCGGTTCACACTTCGCCCTTCTAGACGTGCCTTCTCGAATAACAAAAAACGGAAAGGTGCTGCTTGTCATATCGCATTCCCACAAGTTTTTCGTGGGGACATCTAACAATATTCCAGAGAATCCGTAGAATGTGCCCGAATGCACCAGCAGTTACACAAGCCCCCAGTCTGATTAATCCCGTTGGTTACCTCTGCTCCTGAACGTTCCAATAGTCAAGTCAAGCCGAGTCAATATTGGTTATCGCACACATTTTCAAGAACTTACAAGGTTGAGTCACGTATATATCTAATAGAGTACGTTTCCTTTTGAAAGGTAACCCATTTGTACA